GTAGATGTATTCGAATATGATGGATAAGTCTTTGGATTCAGTTCCCTTCCTTACTGAAAGCACTTTCTCCCAGACTCATGAAAATGCCCTCAAACAAGCGTTGACTGTGTTTGATACAAATAGTATCTTTGGAGACAAGTCCCGAATTCGGAAATATCGGGATTCGTTACAGTCCAAAATCAAAGAGAAAAGATACCGGCTTGAGATACGAAATTGGAAACGACTCATTTCAGAACAACAAAAGAGGTGGGATGAGGAGCGACAGGAACTGAAGAAACAATTGAATGAAAAGGACGCACAGGCATCTTCGATGAAAGTCGAAATGGATCGAACGATTCGAGCAGCCGCTTCGTTGAGTGAGGAAATTCAAAAGAAAACAGATCAGATTGACCAACTTCAAGTCCAATTCCAACAGAAGAATTCTGAAGCCTCCACATTATTGCTGGAAAGCAAGCATTTACATGATGAAGTCAGCTCTTTGAAGAGTCAGTTGCAAGTTGCCGTTCAGGATAAAGCTTCAAATCAAGAGATGTTGAGAAAGAAGGAGACAGAGAATACAGTGTTGAGAAAACGAGTCGAAGAAGAAGCTGCTCATTCTCGAACTCTGTCGGAACAACAGCTAAAGAAGGAAAACCGAATTGCCGAATTGGAACGGAAAGTGAGGGAGAAAGAGGCTGAAATCCTAAGTCAGCAAAAGGAAGCAGAAAGTAAGAAGAAGAGATTGAATACGCTGTATGAAGAAGGCAGAAAGAAAGATAGTCTAATTGGAGAGCTCAATGGAAAGATCAGTGTTCTGCAGCGCAGAGAAGAAGAATCAAAAGATCAACTGAGAAGCTATGTGACGCAGCTCAGCCAACAAGAATCAAAGGTGCATGAACTGAATATGGAAGTTCGACTTAAACAAAAAACGATCACAGATCTCGAAAGTCAAATCCGATCAATGGAAGCCACTGAGAAAACACTGCGAAAGCAGTTAGCAGAGAGGGAAGAAAGCCAGTTGAAACTGAGCAAGAGAGGAGATGAACTGGCTGCCCAACTTGGAGAAAAGGAAAGGCAAAACAGCGAGCTGAAGACGAGAAACTACAAACTCACTGAAGAAGGCGGGAAAGCGAAGCAGAAGATCGAGTTGCTTACGATTCAGGTTCAGAACCGCGACAACATGATCAGTCGATTGAAGACAAACTATAACAGCTTGTTAAGTCAGGCACAAGAAAAGGATAGAACGATCCAACGATTAGAAACAGACAAGAGAACAATCGAGGAATCACAAAAGCTGACGGAAAGCAAAGTTCTGGAACGAAATGCGAAGATTAGCGAAATGGAGAAAGCGATCGAAGTGCTGAAAATCGATGCGAAAGGCGAGCCATTGGTGATTGACTCCGGATCCTTCAACTCAGTTACAAAATACGTTTTTTCGAAGAATATCGAAACTTTGGAAATCGCTGATGATTGCTTCATCAATCTCTCTACGTTCCATATCGATGGACTGCGAAAACTAGAAAGCATTCGAATCGGAATGAACAGCTTTACGAGAGTGAAGAGCGACGATCACTGGGATTGGAAAAAGGTGAACGATTCCTCGCGTTCTTTCCGAATTCTGAATTGTCCGCGATTGAAATCAATCGTGATTGGGGAGTTTAGCTTTAGCGATTATGCCAAGGATTTTGAATTGTCAAATCTTCCTGAATTGGAGGTTTTGAAGCTCGGAGTTATGAATAAGGATTCGTCGAACTTCTATTTCGCTTCTTTCGTTGTGCGAGGTAGGCATTGTCGGCTCTTTTGAATATTTCACAGATCTCCCCAGTCTGAAATCGATCGAATTGGGAAACTGGACGTTCTACTGCTCTTTTGAAACAGTGATCCAAAGTACACACATTCGTTGATTTCTCAGTAGATCTTCCCAGTTTGGAAACCATTCGTCTCGGAGAACACGCTCTCGAAGGAAAAGACGATGATCGATGTTCTCTGGTTCTACAAGGTCGACTTCGAAATGCTAATTCATTGGTAGATCTTCCAAAGCTGAGCTCGATTTCGTCTATTGGATCTAGCTTCCATTATTTGCGTCGTGTGATGCTGGCAGGTAAAATTCAAGGTTTGTATTTTGTCAAAGAACTTCCAAAGGTGGAGAAAGTGGAGCTGCCCGCTGCATTCGAGAAGGTTCATACGCAAAAGATTCAGGGTATGTTTCGTTGAGTGGACTTACCAAAATAGAGAATGTCGCTCAGTGCTTAGTTGACATGATTCATCCAAAGAGTGAAGAAACGTGTTTTGTTTGTTCACATAAGGAATAGTGTTATTGTTGGTATTTGGAAGTAGTCGAAATAAAACAGAGGAGTTTTGCAAATGGGGAGTAGCGAATAAATGGGATGATACCAACACTTTTCAGACAGTCCAAAGTGAAGAAAAGTAAAGTTAGTTATGATGGTAAAGAGGTATTTGATCGAGAGTACCTAATACTGAGGTGATAGCAATTGAATCTATACTAGTCCAATACATGGTCTATTAACTACACTGATCCATCCTTCTTTATTACAATCGTATCCACATTACGATCAAATCTTCAGCAGAAATGCTTTCTATTTGAATCAGTCGATTGCTTAATCATTCACTCTTTCTCATCAACTATCACACATACGTTTCAAACAAACAATCTTCCATCGTCGATGTACCCGAATATTATATCCCTTGGAATGAGGCAATTCAGGAATTGAAATCGTTTCAGTCGATGGATCAGTCACCAGACTGGCTTATAAAGTCACTCTGACTGTTTCATTCGTGTTCGACACGATCGATGGGCTCGATGATTCAACAGGCTTCGCTGCTTCGTTCACCTCGCTCGATTCAGCGATCGTCGGAGTTGTTGAGAGTTCATCAGCAGATTGTACCGAGTTCTTCAAGGGAGAATCTGCGTTGGTAATATCAACCATCACACCACTCTCCCCTTGCTCCGCTCCCTTCTTCTCCACTTCGCTCATCTCGATGTTTTTCTCTTTCTTTTCTTCCTCTTCATAGCTCGCTATCTTGCCAAAGTCCTTCGATCCCTTCCATGTAGCCACATAGCCGATGTCCAGCATGCCCAAGAAACACACCCCAGCAGTCACGTAGTACACAGCCTCGCGGCTGCTGCTGTAGATCTCTGACAGCACCAAAGGAGCGGAAATCAATGCCGCCTGCATGGCGAAGTTGTCCCAGGAAAGCACTTTGCCGGCCACAGAAGGAGTAAAGCTCGTCTAAAGGATGAAAGAGAAGACAAGAGGCAATACACTAAGAATCGAAGTGGAGGCAGGACAAACGAGGCTCCAGCCAACTAGGTAAACAAAGATAGGAGCGAATCCCATAAAGGCGTTTGGCGCCAATGCGATAGACACGTGAGCAGCGACTTCGATGAACATTCCCACAACGGCAAGGTGAGGAATGGGAATTTTGCAACGAGTCGAAAGACAGGGATAAAGGACCGACTGCAGAAGGAAGCACCAAATGCCTTGAATGCAGAGCATTGTGGCGAAGAGCGTTGTTGTCACGCCGAATTTGTCACTCAGATAGATCGCATAGCGGGAATTGTAGCAACCACTCGTCCATGATGTGCAGAACTCCAAAAAGAAACAAAACGGCATGATCGGCTTGAAGTGCACTCGCTCCGAAGCAGAAGAGGAGGAGGAGGAGGAGTGAGACTCTTTCGAGACGGACACAGAGGCAGACGTCGATGTTGCAGTGGAACCAGCAGCGGAATGTTGTTGTTGTTTGCGTTGTTTGCGTTGTAAATAAGCCATGTTCGATTCCTTCAAGAAGAAGAAAGAGAGGATAAAGGCGATGCCTGAGACAGCACCAGCCACAAAGAAGGGGAAACGCAGATTTACGGAGATCAAAGCAGCACTCACTGCAGGACCCAACACATATGCTATTGAGTTTGTAGCTGCCAGGCGTGCCATAAACACATTACGCTCACTAGCCTCAGTCACATCAGAAACAACACTAGATCACAAGGAAACGCCAGCAACTTACGACTGAGCAATAATCATAGAACCAGCAAATAAACCAGTTAAAGCACGCCATAGAATCAACGTCCACATATCATAGGAGAGGCCTTGGAGAATTATACCTATCAAATAAGCGCAAACAACGGAAAAAAGCCTACCAGCACAAGACCCAAACAAAGACAAAATCAAAAATGGCTTACGCCCATAGTGATCACTCAACGGACCCATAGCAAGTAAACCTAGACTTCACAAACAAAGGAAAACTCAATACTCAGGAGTTGCATTAAGGAATAAATACTAAATACTAAACCTTCCTGGAACGGAGTTGATTCCATTTCCAATATCATGTAAGGCAAAACAGCTCCTGCAAAACTGTTGTTTAGGGAGTCCATAAACACGGTGATGAAAGTCATCACCAGAATACTCTTGCGCCTCGAACGAACCTCCATACGAGAGAGTTAAAGATTATCTGTAAAATACAGCAAAGAAAGAACGATTGGATGAACCAAATAATGGTGCAAATCCTGCCTAATAATGCTTCAGACCGTTTCATCCAAAAATATGAGGATTGGTAAAAAAGAATTTTCGTAAGATGACTACAAAACAGGTTCTCTTGACTATATTCAAAACGATCAATAAAAAAAAGCAGAAATGAGCAAATTGTAACACAGAAGGAAGATATATTATGTATATTATGCTATACATATGTTTCATGTATTGTGACAACCCTTGAATGTTATCATATGATGTTCGAAAGGTACTGTGACAAACAAACAGTACCACGAGACCCGTATCTATGAATCCTGCTAATATATATGTTTTGGGAGTGTAATCTTGATCCCTGTAGTATTTCAATTTGAGTATGTATAAATTAGATAATGATACCAGTAGATAGAATCATTTGCTAGAGGGTTGTACAAACACGATTCTCTGAGATTATTGTACAACAATCTAAAAACGCTAGTTCATAATCGAATGCTACAATTACTGGATAAAAGAATAAGAACACTATTGGCTTGATACACCTCCATACTCAAAGCAATACATAGACTGCTTTATTTCTGCAAATCAATAAGAATATCACAAGTAGCTCAAACATCGATGAATCCAGTACAGGCACAACAAATCAATATTCGATTTCTCATGATTGTTACAACTATACAACTCCACCACTGAGTAAAGTCGAGTTTGTTTATATATGAAATTGTATTATTGTGTAATGTGGCAATGAGGAAAGATAGAATCATGGTCACTGCCTAGCAACTTCCTCTTCCAACCAAGAAGAAATCCTAACAATCCTTTCCCTATTAGTGATTGTTATTTTGCTATTAAGAATGAGTGCGAAGATCACCAAACATAATATTCACATATTGTGTCATCCCCTCTTCCATCCCCTATCACACATTACATTCCAACACCCTCTCCCAACCATTTTCAAAAACAACAGAATCAATCGCAAATAAACTCTCTATTCACTTTCTTTTCACTTTTTCCGTGGTTAGCCATCGAACATGGAAGTAGTCAACCCGAACGGTGTGAAAGTATATAATCTATCGACTGGAAAGAGTTTTCCGAAGGTTGCTGTGTATTTCGTTCATTTACTTCCTAGTTCCTATCTCCCGCTCAAAAGCGTAAATTAGCAAAAAATGAAGGTGTGTGTCAAATTGGTGTGGTAATTCTCTAGAATACCGAAGACGCATTGAGTTGATCCAGGACTTCGAATTCAACCAGTCCTGTCAAAAGATCAAGGTGTCAAGAGACGGAAACTACATTGTTGCAAGCGGTAAGTGTGGAACTCTATACTCACGTTGTCAGGAGTTTATCCTCCCATGGTAAAGTGCTTCGAGACGCAGCAGATGAGCGAGAAGTTCCGACGTCATTTAGAGTGCGAGATTGTCCAATTTCAGTTTTTGTCGGACGATTTCAGCAAGTTTGCCTTCCTTCTCGCGGACAGAACGCTCGAATTCCACGCACGGTACGGATTTCATTACCGTACTCGCATTCCCAAGTTCGGGCGAGACATCACCTATCATCGTGTTTGTTCCTCTCTCCCCGCCTCACCCGCAGGAGCGATGCGAGCTCTACGCGGTAGGCAGCAGTCCGGAGATCTACCGTCTGGATCTGGAGCAAGGAACGTTCATGTCTCCGATCCCTGCGCACTGCGCCGAGCTGACTCAAATCGTTCTCTCCCCCGTGCACCAAATGCTGGCCGTGGGGAACATCCAAGGCGAGGTGGAGTGCTACGACTCGCGCAGTCGCGACTGCCTGCAGTGCGTGAAGATCTTCGACTCGGAGACGCGCGCCATTCGCTTCCGCGACGACGGCATGCAGATGGCCGTCGGCAGCGAGACCGGCGTCGTCAAGCTCTTCGACATCCGCAGCAGCCGGCCGCTCCTCGAGTTCGAGCACGCCTACGAGACGCCCATCACGAGCCTCAAATTCGCGGGCGATCATCTCCTCTCTTCGGATCGGAAAACGCTCCGCATCACCGACCTCCACGTTCCTTCCTCGTCTCTCTGCGAGCCGTAGACCCGCGAAGCGCTCTGCACGCTGGAGCCGGACGCGCCGATCAACCACATGAACGTCGTTCCGCAGAGCGGACTGCTCTTCGTGGCCGCCGAGCAGCCCAAGGTGCTGGCGTTCTTCGTCCCCGCGCTGGGCCCCGCGCCGAAGTGGTGCTCGTTCCTGGACAATCTCACGGAGGAGCTGGAAGAGCAGAGCGCGGGCGTGTACGAGGACTACAAATTCGTAGAGGAGGGAGAGAGGAGTGAGGGATAGGTGACGCGGCAGGAGCTGGCGGAGCTGGGGCTGGAGCATCTGATCGGAACGGATCTGCTGCGCGCGTACATGCACGGCTATTTCATGGACAACAAGCTGTATGAGCGGTCGAAGGTGGTGGCGAAGCCGTCGATGTACGAGGAGTATCAGAAGGAAAAGAACCGCCAGCGCGAAGAAAAGCGGAAGGAGAAGCGGATCACGATGAAGCAGAAGAAGACGGGCGTGAACGCGGAGCTCGCAGAAAAGTGGGAGAGCGGGAAGAAGGCGGTGGACGAGCGATTCAGCGCGCTGTTCGAGAACGGAGACTACGAGATCGATAAGAATAGCGAGGAGTATCGAAGAGCGCACGCGAGCGAAATGCGAGGAAAGAAAAAGGCAGCGGTGGAAGAAGAAGAAGAAGAAGAAGAAGACAGCGAGGAAGCGATGCTGGGAGAGGACTTTGATTTGCTGGATACGCATGATGCGATGATTGCGAAGAAGAACGCGAAGAGGGAAAGCGAAGAAAGCGAGGAGAGCGAAGAGAGCGAGGAAAACGATGAGAAAAGAGAAAAGACGGCGAGTCGGAAGGAGCGAGAAGAAAAGGAGCGGATTAAGCCGAAAGTGAGATTCTATGGAGTGAAAGAGGGAAGCAAGATTCAAATCCCAACAAGCAAGAACGAGATGAAGAAGGAGGTGGAAAAGAGAAAGGAGAGAAGGACAATGTCACTGGGACAAAGAGCGAAAGCGAACGAACGAAAAGGAAGAAAGTAGATTGTGCTTGTTTCTTAGAATCATAACTCTGTTATTGGGTAGTCGATGTGTTGTAAACGGTATTGAATAAAAAACACAGAAAGGAGAGTAGAAGGGCAAAAGACTTGAATGATAACAAAAAAGGGAAAAAGGAGATTTTGCAAGAATCGAACTTGCGTCTACCGCGGCTAAGTTATTCTGACAGGGAGAATGAAAGATCGGTAGCTCTTCCATTGAGCTATAAACCTCCGAAAACTCGTCTTATATTATTATATAAAATATACTGCTATTTAGCCTCACACTTGTTAGGATTGTTATGTGTTTTTGTTTCCCTTGTTATTAACTATTCGTTTTTCATAATGATAAATACTTAGAGTAATAGAATAATATAAATATTATCAAAATGGATCACTTTTCGATTAATCACACAAATGCATCTGTCTGGATAATATGCGTACAAAATATAACAAGAATAATGAACTTTCGCATACAAAAGTAACCCATCCCTCATTCAATATACTCATATCTCCAAAAAGCAATTCCAACAAACAAGCAAAGCTACAAGCTACAACGTGGGCTTCTTAATCAACTGCTGCAGCGGTTCCTGATGATCTCCCACTCGTTTCAAGTACAAATAAGCATCCGTCCCATACCCCTCGATCGACACGATCTCCAGCGACCCTCCAAAGTACTGAGCGTACAGTCTGGACAGCGGCAGTCCATATCCCAACCCGCACATCGGCGAATCCACCTACATGCCATGCCCATCCATCGCCCACTCCAAAGTCCGTTCCGTCCTTCTCAAACGCATTCACCGTCGACGTCGTATAGAAATAATCCCAAATCCGATTGATATTCCGCCTCTGAATGCCGCCTCCTTCATCGCTAATCTTCATGATCACGTCCGCGTTCGTGTCTCCATCGCTAATAATCACCTTAATCGGTGGCAATTCATCGTCGTGCTCGTGCACCTCCACCGTAGCACGCATGCTGTTCTTCAGCAATTCGAACAGGATGTGGCGTAAAATGCTCGGAATATACGAGAACGATCGGTTCTTATGCGAATAAACCTGCACCGGAACCGTCTGCCCGTACTGCCGATTGCACACAAATTCCGCTTGTTCTCTACATTTAACCGCGGAAACGCGCTCACATCGCGAGCTGCGTCACGTCGTGCGGGTTGGTGTGGCGATTGATGATGCCCGTGTAGCCAGGGATCGGGTTTTTCATCTGTTCTTCGAGCGATAAATGCTGTTCTAATAGAATTCGAATGCCGATGCGGCTCGTGTAGAACGAATCCAGATAGGGCTTTAAGGGCTCCAGCTCGTTCTCGACGGCGCCTTTTTCTTGGAGACGCTGGCGGAGAGAGAAGACGGAGCGAGCCATCATCTCCATGGTCTAGATGGAAGGAGGGAAGGGAACGTACGCCGCTGTGGCGATCGTAGATGTTTCGAAGAACCTTTGTGAACTCCACGGCTTCCTTGTAGGTTCTAAAGAGGAGAGAAGAGAAAAGAGAAATGTACTTGGGACGACCAAAATCCAGCATATCGATAAACGAATAGAGGTACCAATCTCGAATCGTCTTCGTTGTGTTCACTTCGGACATTCCGTAAGGCATGTTTTCCAAATCAAAAATGCGGTATGCCAGGCCTATGTTACACCAAGAAAAACAGAATGTACGGATAGGAAGCTCTCGAAAGCAGAACTGTGCCGAAAGCAGGAATTTCTTTTCGTCACAGTTTCGTCCAAACTCCTCAAGATGATCCAACGTGATCGCTGTAGAATTATCGAGTTCTAAACACAATTACCATATTGATCAAGTCGTTGGAATCGTTTGATTTCCTTACGTGCCTGCGCGATTCTCTCGGGTGAGTAATTCCCGATTCCCCTGTGAGTTACACAATTCCGATTCTCCGAACCTAACAAACATTGGAACTCCCATGTCTGCAAAAGAGAGCCTCTTCAAAGCTGATAATGCAATCCTTCCCCTCGATAACATTGCCTTTTGGATTATCATGAAAACGGCGATTTGGCATTCCCTTCGATTCCTTCGATTTTGCAGATTTTCGATCAATATCGTGCATTTTAACAAACAGAGATTGTTCAAAAACGTAAAGTACATTAAATAATCGGATAGTCATCTTCGTCTAGGATGACACCCTGTGTAGGCGGTTTCTTCGTATATCTGCACAGCAATTCAGGCGACCGGAATATCTTCATCACCGTATACCAAATTTTATACTCATCCTTGGAATGATTCCTACATGCCACTCTCTCTCCACGCCTACGGATAGTTCATCATCCTGCACACCTCCATTACATCGATCAACTGCAACAGCGGCAGCGGATCGGAGAGCGTGTTATACACGATGCTCCACGCCGTGGGAATCACGTTTTTGATCATCGCGCCCAGCGAAACCATAATCGTCGCGTACAAACCCACAATTCCCACGTTTCCCAGCGAGCTCAGCCCCTCATAAACGAACTCTACACGCTATTTCCCAGCCGCTTCGCAGTACGCGTGAGTCCGTAATCGGAAATGGTCCAGAACTCGAGAATGGCGTCGGACCATTCATTCATCCCTTCGAACGGATAGAATTCGTCGCTGTCGACGTACTCCGTTCCGTTCTTTCCCACGCAGAAGCAGCGCCAGATGAGCGCGTTGAAGCCGCCCGTCGCTTCTTTGGTGAGTTGGATCTAAGAGAAAAGAGGAGAGAGAGAGAAGCGAACGGCCACGTCGCGATATTCGAGGTATTCGGCGTCGACTGCGTACACGGAGCTGCTTCCCAGGCGAACAACGCGCGGAATTCTATTCGAATCACTCGACACCGAGAGAAGAGAACAAGTTTCGCAGAACCAATGTGTCGTTCTGGTACTGCAGAATGTTCACCAGCGTGGCGACGTCCTCGCTCGCCAGCGCGTAATTGAGAGTGAACGTGTTTGTGTTCCAATCGGAACGTTCCAATTGGAGCTTCATTCGGATCGACAAATCGCTCGATTCGAGAACGCGAGCGCAGATGTAGTCGAAGTAGCGCATCGAGATCATCCATGTGAACATATTCTATAGAATCGTGGAAACGAAACGTGGAAACCATGTCGCGAAGAATGATTCGTTGCTGTGTGTTGGAATAAGCGGAAGAAAGCAGCGATGTGATCGTCGCTGGCCGTCAAACAAAAAACAAAAAAGAAAACATTGGTTTTTGAAAGTGCTCATCCAAATCTCGTGATCCGTCGTGTTGCAATCGATCAAAATGCTGTTATCATTCGCATAGATCTCCACTTCCTCTCCGTCCATCTTGCCGTCACCCTGTTTCCCCGTTTCTACGATGAGATGCGCGGAAATCTGCGCGTTCGTCACGCCGTTCTCGGTCAACGCGGGCGAAATCGACGAGAAAAGCATCAACGGGAGGATCAAAATGAACTACATCGAAACGAAGCGGCTGCGATACGATGAGAAGAAGCATCAAGAGCGTGCCGAGACAGATTTTCTCGATGGGTTTCCGCTTTCGCTGCTCGCGTTGGTTCTTATCACGATCGTAATGGAGCGCCTGATGGGTGAGAAGATGAAGAAATGAAGGGAACGCGACACTTGGAATCGTAGAGAATCGCGTGGGCGGAGTAGACTTTGAACCAATGGATCAGGTTGAGCGAAGTGTTGCTGATGGCCCAGTCGAGAATTTGGTGGATTTCGAAGAGGAAGGGGATGTATCGATAGCACTGAAATCAAAGAGAATGAAAAGGGAAACGTAGAAAAGAACGCGGTTGAAGATGGAATAGTTTTTGTTGATGATGTTGTTGATGAAATTGTCGGAAGTGGGATAACTGATGGGTAAAAAAGAAAAGAACGAAAAAGAAACCCGTGACTGATTTGAAGAGAGGAGAGAATGATGTAAAGCATTTGGAGAATCGTAAAGAACACCACACTGTCTTTACTTCCAAAAGAAGTGTTTGTTGTGTAGGGGATTCCGATGAATAAGTAAATCATGATTAGAATCGAATAGATGATGTGGAATACGACTTTGCCAAGCAAATGGCCCTATGCATTCAGTTTCTATGGATCGGGTTTTTACTTTGATGTAGAAGAAACGGTCCAGCATCATCACTAAAATCTGCAGAATCACCGCGTACAGCGACGTTGCCGAATAGAAATTATTCTCCAAGTCGATCATCAGCATTTCCCAGTGCAGTTAACGAATCCAACCAATAAAAATCATTGTTTGTTTGTTTGTTTGTTTGTTTGGTGAAAGATATGCTACTCTGCGTCATCGTCGGGAAAAACACCATGATATAAATCACCGAAATCACTTGAATGGAGATGATCCAGCTGTACAGCGATTGCCCATTCTTTGTTGGATGCGCCTGGCCGCTCTATTCGATGAATTTACGTCTGCGAAGCGTACACTCATCGCGTAAAGACTCGGGAAAACCGTCTGCAAATAAACCATCGTCTACATGGCATCCAAAACGATCGACTTCGTTACCTTATAACTCAATTTCTGGAAGAGTTTCTGAACGAAACTCGATTCTTCCCTACACTCAATCACAATCAACGATCCGAACATTTTGCGGCGATGGAACATGTAGTACACCACGCTCCGAATCTTTTCTTCCTCCAACTGCACCGAGGAGGGCTGCAAGTTTTTCGATTCATAGATATCGAAATCGAGAGAGCAGGATCGCGTTCGCAGGCCATTCGACGATTCTCCGTCCTGCACTGGATGCAAAATCTAAAGAGAAGCCATCTTTCTATTCTCTCTACTTTCTGCAGAATACAAACGTTTATATCCTTGTCCCAGAGACCGCATTTCTTGATGTAGGATCGCATAATGATGATGAGAATCATGATCGTGATGTCGCTCGCGATCGCGGGTCCGTTAAGCGCCGTATCCACAATTCGACCGTTCAGAATGCCCAAAAAGTCGAGAAGTTGGAACTGCTGGCGATCCAGTTTGGCTTGATGTTCGCATGATTCCTACCAATCATCCAATCAGCCATCAGAATCCACCAGGAAGAAGAACTCCATAATTCCGTCACTGTTCACGCACTGACTAAACAATGGGAGCTGCACAAAGTATTTGCTGGTGATGCTGAGAGTGGAGACGACGAGCAGCGATTTGTAAACCCAGTAAGGAATCATGAGCGAATAGCTCATGCCCAGAGTGAGCACGATGAACAACTCGATGATACTGAACAAATCGTGGCGCATCATGCAGAGAATGCAGATGAAAACGACGAAAAATGTTTCGAAGAGTTGGAGCTTTCGCCACGCTTTCAATCGATTGAAGAGCTGAGCGACCAGGCCGATTACATCGGTTGAATCCACTGATTTGTCGTCTTTCTGCTCGGATGGCGGGTTGATGTTCTTTCGATCCAAGTTCAGAATGTTCGGGAAGTAAAAAGAAAGAGAAATGGGCGGGTGGAGGGGAGGGATGTAGTCGATCGGAGGCAGACTTTCCTTGATTTGCTGACGCATCGCTTCGGGAAGCTCGGCGAGGTCCTATCGATGATGCTCGTTTTGTTCGATTACCAAATTCACGGTGGTGATCGCGTTGAATTGCTGGAGCAGCTGGAGCACGTTCTGTCCAAGCAACACGCTGGAAGGATTCGAATCGACCTCCTTTTCTTGGTCGGTCAGTCGGATCTTCAGGTATTTGTAGAGATCGGTGGTCTGCTTGAATTTGATGACCAGAAAGAGGTTCTTTCCGTCGAACCGAAGCGCGATGTGAACGAAGCGACAGACGTCATACGTGTCACTTCGACGCTTGTATTTGATCCGAAGCCTATGTGTGGATCATCGAATAAAACGCGTACTTGCGCTGTTCCACGTTCATCGACACCGAACACTTCGAGAACTTCATCTTGTTCTTGATGCTCGTTGTCTTTCCTTCGCTCACCGAGGCCGAAAAACTGAATTCTCCCGAGCTTTCGAGCGTCGGAGTGCGAATCGGATACGAGTAATCGGAGGGCTGGTTGTAGTTCATGCTGTTCAGCGCGTAGATTTGGAACTGGTATCGCGTGTTGGGGAGAAGCGTCGTCACAACGCCTTCCAATTTTCCTTCATCGTTCTTCCGGAAATCCGCCAATACGCGAAGAATGGGGTCTGAAAAGAGAGTCATCTAGATTGAAACATGGAAGTGAAACGACTTGGGGCAGAGACTTGTAACGAACCACGTAGGGAGCTTCTTCGCTGATCGATTCGTTTAAAATCGTGATCGAAACACTGTATGGAGAAAGCGGTTTGACGGAAATCTCGGGCTTTTCTGGAAGATCTAGATTCAAAACGGTTGTTGGGATGGTGTACCAATATTTTTCTCGGACAATCTCACTCGCTCATAGCGTTCGATCAAATAGTTTTTCAGTCGCACAAACCAGACTCGGTTTGCTTCAATGACTAAAAACATAAACAAAAAGCAACTGCTTTACTCTCTTGACGCGTCTTGAATTCCATTTCTAAGTAATCCATGATCGATTCCTGTCGCTGCTTCGCTTTCTTGCTCTCATTCTGAATGCTCCGCTCCACAACATCATAAACACTCGACGCCGTGATCATTTTCTGAATGTACACGATTACTGTAATCGCCATCACTGGCAGCATCCCGTGAATGCTCAACGGATGGTAGCACTGAACCATTTCGGCCGTGGCTCCGTTCAGTGGATAGCACATGGGAGCTCCTTCGTAGTAAGCCAAAACCAGCTTGGAGAGTCCGATCGTTCGGAAGACCAAAATGGAAAAGTTGTTGATGGTGAGAACGTGTTCTTGGAAAGTGGGCATCTGGAATAAAACGAACGCGAAAAGATGCAAATAGGAGATAATGAGAAGGAGTTTCATTGATAAGCTGTTGCGTTCTTTCATGCGATCAGGGAATAAGATGAAATAGAGAATGTAGAGGAAGTAGACGAGCGAGATGAGCGAGATGTTCACAGAGGATAGGATGAGAATCAAAATGTTTGTGATCTTGTTGAGGTTGTTGATAATGAAGCTGATCACTTTGTCTACAAACGTGTAATCCTCGATGGTAGTTGCAGACATGCTCGACTGAGGAGGAGTCGAGCCATGCAATGAGATGTGTGTCGTGTACTTCGCGAGAGACGATGCGAGAGACGTTTCATTGACAGTGGCAACTTCATCGGAAACGGCCATCTGCAGGGTGGAAATGATGATTAAAAGCATGTTGAAGAGGAAATGATAATCCGAAAGCTGCGTGAACAAAACGTAATGCGACCATTGTTGGTCATCAATCGGATTGTAATACTCTGTGCGTCACAAAAATCGCATTTTCATTACTCGCCACAGACGCCACAACGAAGTATTCCATCGTTGTAGTGAAGATTTTCAAGCTCACAATCAGTTTGGTTCGCTTGTATAAGTCGAATGTTGTGTTGAAGAGCAGCAAGGGAAGCAGGAAAATGCTAAACATCGAATCGACCGTGTCTTGCGCGCCTTTCCATCAACAATCCAAATCTCATTTACAGCAAACGACGAGAGCGATGATCGAAAAGGCGCGCAGAATCGACAGCGAATGTTTCTCGTACGACAGCGATAGATTCACGAGAATGTTGAGGATGCGAATGATCGTGCTGTAGAGAATCAGCCACGTGTTCGTGATCGTTGTTTCGATATCTCGGATGTAGTTCAGATCGTCTTCTTCTTCGAACGGAGAAATCTCCACTTCGCCCAACGCTTCCGCGCGGCCACGATGGAAATCCAGATTGAAGATCGCTGTGGAGTTTTCTAGAACGGACCCGGAGAGGTCCTGCATCGGTGGAGTTCGCTGGGTGAATTCATCGTAATCAGGAATTGTGTCCAGATCCATCAGCGAAACATCGATCCGATGTACCGAGCCTGAACCAGAAGTCGAAACACTTTGAGATCGAGTCGCCGATCCAGACCCGGATCCAGAAATAGAAGCAGAAATAGAAGCAGAAGCAGTTCCAGAAACAGTTCCAGAAACAGTTCCAGAAACAGTCTCGGGGGTAGCACTGGAAGGAGAATTGGACGTAGGACTGGCCGATTGCACGCCGGATCGCGCTGGTGTGGCTACGATAAACGAATCGAGATGTTCCATTACGAGAATGGTCCGTTCCTTCCGGACTTCGAGCCACCGAATCGCTGGCTTTCCGCTCCTGGATCGAGAGATAAAAGCGGTCATTCTTCGCGTTGAGCTGCTGACTATTCATTCAATCCAATCGCCTTGTCTACATTCGCTCCGTGTGACGAACGCGGAATAATGTCTCTGTCGCTACTCGCTTCTCTCTTCGTTCCACGGTCTTCGGAAGATCGTCGTGCTTCGGCTGCAGCAGCTGCGGGAAAACTTTCTGCATGAACATGTGGTGGATCTTGCTTCCTCCGTTCTCCGTTTGATCGACTTCTTCCGCTGTACGACCGTAATAAACCATCACACTGAGCAGTAATCCGCAGAGCGTAGAAAAGTAAAACTCCAACTCCCCATACCAAATACTATCCGTAAACACGCTCCATTCAGCGGAGCCGAACGCGGGGAGCTGATCGATCTTTGGAGTGTATTTACTCATTCCGAAGGGAGATAAAATCTGCGTATACGTCGTGCTGAGGGTATCCAAATACGACAATTGCGAGAAATAGCTATGAATCAATCCAACATACGATCCGCTACACCACTGGAATCTGAATCACAAGCGGCATAATGCAAAGGCGATAGCAATCTGCCCAGCGGGGATACAAGCTAACGCCTTTTTTGATTTTATAGAACAGAAGAATCAGCATAATCATATTCAAAAATGTGGGATCACACATAATCACTAAAACGAGTGTCATCAGCATGAGTTTCGGGAGATGAACGAAAAGAATAATCATGATAATATAGATGTAATGCATGGCTCGATTTAGCAGGTCTTGAATCGAACCGAAAGCATAGATTTCGTTCATATAGGATGAATACGGTTTGGGATCATCGAAATAACCGCCTCGATTTTTGGAAAAGAGATTATTCAAGTATTTCACTCGGAAGATACAAACCACTGCATCCACAATTCCTTGAATGGAACTATACACGCGATTTCCAAACGGAGCATCGAATGGAATGAATCCCAACTCGAAAATGTGAATGTAGCCTTTCTGCACCCAAGAAATCGACTCCAAAAACGACTCCACAATCGGATTGACTTCAGGGAGCAGAATGATGAATTTGTAGAGGAAGATGAGCAAGAAAAGGGAGCAGGCGATGAGCCATTCCGCAAAGGTTTCTTTGTAGCACACTTGGCAGACGATCAGGATACAAAGAATCATCAAATGCAGAAGATTGAGGTAGGTCGGAACGCCTGCGTAGAGATATGCGAATTCGACGAGAAAATAGACATCGATGAAATAGTATTTCGTGCACTGAATCACCTTCTCGAGCATTTTCCATCTACCAATCAATCCATCCAGTCAAACACTTTACATGATGCCTGTCGTCGTTTTCCCCTCCATTCTGCGCTCCTTCTCCGAGTCGTAAATCCTATCGATAATACTCGCAGACCATTCCGTCATCAGCAACACCGCAACCAACAAAAACTGCAGCAGCAACGCAATCAGCGTGGTTGATACGGGGAGTTTTACCAATTCCCAATCGAACGGAATGTCCGAATAAAACCCGAACAATGAAGGAATCAACGCTGTGTTCAAGGTATTCTACGCTTCATTCACAACTCGAAGGAGCCACTTGAAAGATAACGGAGTAGGCCGTAACCGCACAGCAGCAAACTCCCGCTGTGATGAAAGCGAGCTTCCAGAACTGAGTGAACCAAGCGATGAAGTAGATGAGAACGCAGAGCAATGACATCAGATTGCAGTTGAGAACCACCAAAACGAACAGAGCGACCGTGGCGAGGAAAAAGAGAAGGGAGAGCAAGTGGTGGGAGAGGAAGAGGAACTTTCGGCGCCGCTGAATGCGTTTGATGATTTCGTTTTTGTTCGCTTCTTCGGTTTTCGAGGGAAGCGAGTAGCGAAACTGATCGACCTGCGTTCCCACGCCTTCAATCGTCATCGCAGCGTCCTGAATGTAATGAATATTGCTCTACGCCTCATTGAGACTCAGGAAAAAAATACATTGCAGCTCAAGCTCACAAACAGCAGAACGCCGTATTCAAAAAGCACGTTCGGGTATTGATTCAGCCCTCCATTGATCATATAAATCAGAATCCGCGCCCATTTCGGCGATTGCTCCCACCATCGATTTCCCACGTTAATGAAGATGAGTTTGAGAAGCAGAAACAGCACAAACCACCAATAAATCGCGTAGCGAATCGCGATGTTGGGGAGAAGCGCCGCCCAGTACGAGAAATGCGCGTCTTCGTTCAACGAGACGTGGACTTCGTTGCTCGGCGCGTTGGTTAACAAGGTCGAGCCACTCGAACGCGTGTCGGATCGACTGATTCGATACTGTTCCTCTTCGTCTTGGCGCGAACAAAACACAGAGCGATGTCGAGGACGAGACGGAAGCGAGGAAATGCTAAGAGCGTACTTCTGAATGTTCTGAAGATAGAGAACGTCGAGGACGATGAGCAAGATCAGAACCAGATTCAAAAGCGAGTAGTTCACAGTGATGTACACCAAAACAACGAAGTAGAAGAACATATGACCCAATACCGAACACGACAGAATCCGAATGCTACAATCGCAAACCATTTTCCTCTTCGTACCATCGACTAAACAGCTTCACAAACAGTTTTAGCTTCGGCAAAATGCCTTCTTCGACGACCTCTTCCGGTGTTTCATCCGAGTTTTGCGATAATCCCATCGGCGATCTCTCAGAAGCGGGTGAAAAACTATCTCCTGTGCTTCGCTCCTGCTCCGCCGCGGCGTTTCCGATTCGCTGGAAAAACGTAATCGATCCCAAAATCAACAAATAGACGACGGCGTCGCGCACAGGCTTCGGAATGTGGAAGAGAAAAAAGACGTCGGTCCAATTCGATTTGAACTGGGTCGAAAACCGCGGTTTGGGATGCGGTTCCTCGCCTGTTAGCACATTGTAGAGCTTCACGAGCGCGTGGGAGCCTGTGACGTCGAGGGATCTATTCGAAGAGAGGAACAGCACAAAACTTTAATGCAGCGCAGAACACCAAGACCCAGAGAAGCCATTTTCGCTTATTTGCGGTGGTGGGGGAGGTCAGCTCGCTGCGAATACACCATAGCCAGGTTAACGAGATTGCGTAGATAAATAGTGGGAGGTCAAAAAGGCTAAGTTCGTAGCAGTTGAAAAAGAAAAAAAGAAGAAGCGGAACATACATCGACAGAATACTTGAAATAGAGAATGTCTATGCATAAACCAATTTGTACATATTTACGCGATGAATATTCGATGACTCGCCAAAGATCGCACAAATTGCCATAATGATGATAATGAAATCGATCATGAAATAGCACAGAAATCCGCGCCAAGTTATTATGCTTCGGCCTCCGATCGCCTCCAACAACTGCCAATCAGAAGGATGGAATAAAAATACCTTTTCATCAAATATATTGAATGTTGCTATGAAATCCAGAGTACACCCACCAAGAGCCACCAAAATCACAAGCAGTAAAGGAAACAAGATTTCCTTTCTTCTTTTGCCTTTACCTTTATACACATACAGCCAAATCCCCAGCAACGACAAAATAAACGACAGAATCGACTCCCTCAAGAATTGAGCGATAAAGAGAATAACTAGTAAAAAATATAAAAATTTGGAATAGGAATAAGTGTGCATTGAAATGGATTCAGTATCATACAAAACAAAATTGGGAGTTTCATGGGAATCCAACAAACAGAATACATTGACAAGATTTCATCATACTCCACAATATGATCCACCAGAGCGTAATTGTATTTGATTTCTGACACAACATAATCCTTGAGGGAACGCTGCTCCACATCTACAAAGTAACTGACCCGCGCCTCTACCCTCATCAGGCCGCTTTTCCATCGTCGACAGAGCACTAAGCGACTCGCAGAACTCGCCGAACGTGAGGACCTGAAGCATGCAGCAGGGTCCATCAGCCGATTTGCTCACAAATCGTTCCTGAGCAAACTACAAAGCAATCTCTTCCTTCCAGTACCTTCTCAAACAAACGGTTTGCCTTCGTCACGCACTGGCTCTTGCTGCATCGAGGCAGCATCTCCCGGATGCATTTCTCAAAATCCACGTGGCCCATCACGCGCAGCTTCCGCACTCGCTGGCTTTCTCTCTCATACTGCGAAGAGTGTGTCGTGTAGTCCTCTCTGAGCTCGTCAGAATCCACGCCGATCGAGGAATCGTGAAGCGTACTCACGTTCGAAACGGTGCGTTGTTTCTTGTGGAGATCGCGAAGCTCGCTGAGCGTTTTGAGCGTTGAAGCGCTGGAGACGCTCGTTGTGCGCGACTCCGATTCGCGGATCAGCCAGGTGGAGAACATGTAGAACAAACGATCGGTGATTTGGTCGATGCTCAGCTGTTTCAATGCGGTCTAGATGCTAAGAAGAGAGGCGATGAATCATCACGAGATTGGCGGCATTGACTTGATTGTTTTCCATGTCAAGGGATGTCAACTCCATCATCACGCGCCGTTCTTCCTCCGCCATTTGCATTCTGTTGCGTGAAAACGTAAAAAAAGAGAAAAAGAATACGCTTTCTTTCGCTGATTGGGATCGACAGCGATCGTTTTGAATAAGCGACGACGACCGGATTTGCTGTGATACTTCTGGATATATTTGCTCAGTCGAATGATCTATTCGAAAAAGCAACAAGTGAGCAAACTTGATAAGCGACCGAACCCACGAATCGATAGCCGAAAAGAAGTCCGATAATCACAGTGAGGATCACACCATAAACGGACACCGCATTGAACTAGGCTAAGAGAAACGAGAGAAGAGAAACGAGAAGAATGCCGCCAGCATAAAGAAAGTTGGTAGTCGCCCAGAATACGACGAACTTCGATCGGAACTGCTTGTAGCTAGAATGACAGAATGAGAAAAGCTGTACGAAACCTCCATCGCGTGCTGGGCCTTTTCGTTATTGATCAGATTGCTATCTCGCGTTCCCCAAGTGATATCGTGAATATTACAGAAAGAGTAAATAATGAAGATATTCATGAAGGTGGGAAGCATAAAGCTACGATCAAAAGCGATTAAAATATTGACAGATATTGGATCATAGTGGGAATAATCGCGAAGAACTGCCCGTGAACGATTGAACAGACGATTGTGACGAAGGAGGACGCACATGCAGCAAAGAGAACGAATGCATCGACTGCTGTCATCGTGTAGAACGTTACTAGCAATGAGGAAGTCATTCAGAGAGCAACAAAACATAGTAAACATAAACAACACTCCATAGAAAATGTAACAAATCTGATAGACTTCTTTGTTATCACGAGGATCGTTTCCTAACGCGTAGATAAACTGAACCGCTGTGATCGTTAAGTAGATCGCATTCAACGCATAGGAAGTGACCGACTCTCTCCCAAATTCGGAATTCAACACAATGGCAAACGTAAGAAACATGTTCGCCAGCTGCGTAAGCGTCATCACTACGCCTCATTCCCTCTTCTCTCATCCTACAAACATTCACACTCATGTAAATCAATTCCAATGTTAGAATAATCTTCCTTCCAAAACTATGTCCCGATTCCGTGTACAACCGACTCCACTCTTTCAAAGCATACAAACCTGCAAAAAACGATCCGTTCTGCCATCGTCGACGCTGTCGAATCAGGAAATTCAGATTCGAAGGGATATCGGTTGTTGCCACTGCCGTGTTCACTATCGTTCAACCCATTTCATTTCATTTCAATACCATAGTGAAGAGTGTAGTTGCAGTCTTTCTTCACCAACATTTCAAATCCCATAATACGATCTTCTGCAAGATACATATTCGCGGAAAACGGTTCCACCACCAAGCGATTCTCATCGCTTTCCAACAAAAAGTATTTGTCGAGTGGAGTTCCTTGCAAGGCTTCGTAACGGTAGGAAGAGAAGGCACCAGGTAGCACAGACACGTACCCGAACGAGCTCTCCATGGCTTTATCCAAAAAGTGAGACACTTTGTATTCGAAGAACTGGGAAGACTGGACCGGCGATGCTTTCGATGCATTCAATGCCAAGATCTCTCCGCAACAGCCTCCAATCTGTGGATTTTCTTCCATCTCGTTGTACAACTGAATGAGCGCAGTCGGCATTGGCTAGTGAAGTGATGGGAAGGGATGGATGAATACTTTTGTTCCGACATCGAGCAGAGTGATGAAGTCTGGATTGAGTTGGCGGGCAAAACCGCGCATGATCCAAAGATGGCTATTCAGTTTTCCCATGTTATTCTCTTTCACTGCAAAAATGATATCGAAGGGTGTGTAGTAGCTTTCGTTCGCGATCGATCCCTTGGAAATCAGACGGTTGCACTTGAAGAGATGCAACTGCAACATGGGGATTCGTTTGGTTAGAGCTATCACGTCTCTCTCTGAGTACTTCGTCCGAAGCACTGCCATGTGTCGCTTCCACGCTTTCGTGCGGCGACGATTGTCTTCAATCGCCACATCCATTACCTTTGCATCTTCCTCTGTGAGATAGTGTTTTGTATCCTGACGAAACTGGAAAATCGATTCGTCCATTTTCTCACGACCATCCAAAATCACAAACACAACGATGTCGTCAATTGTCATCCCGTAAGAGAACTCAGGAAGATTTTCTATATTGTCTGCGATCCCTCGAATCGAGTCGTTTAGCTCCTTGTAGGTCTCGTTGAACATTGTTACAGATACGATCACTTTCGGCTTCTTTCGACCAGGAAACAGTTCGATTCCATACTCCGGGTCATTGAAACTATTGATATCACCGAAGAACGGGCGGTAGTCCACATCTTTACTCACTCGACGCCAGGTGGCACCTGAAAGCAGCTTCTGCATTTCTAGGGACGATGAGCCATCTGTTGAAGAACTCACACTCTGTGTGTTACCCCACATTCATGCCAATACGCTAGATAGCGCCTCATCATATGTCTTCAGAGGTTCCTGAAGGATTAGGCGCTCGTCTGACTTGGATTCAGACACCTTTGCTTGCTCAACAGAAGCAACGCTACACGACACCTGCTCCAATGTCGCACGTTTTCGTTTCCAATAATTGTCAAGAGCATTGGTCATCTCTATTCGGGCGATTCGTTGCAACTCTCTCTCAGAAAGAGTGTCACATATTGTTTCGTTGACAGTTTCCTCCATCTTGTATAGAGTAGAAACAATTAGACCTCGGAGGCATCATCTTCGTGCTCTTAACGACGAATAAAGGATCCATTTTGCCCCGCGGGAATTTTCTGTAAGAAGTTCAAGTTCCTTTCATTATTCAAAACGAATAGGAGAATGAGACGGGTATAGATATCCAATGTGGATTCTTTCAGAGCTCCATTTTTAAAAAAAAACATTCGATGCTAAGAAACAAGGGCTTGTTGGTGCTCTTCTCTATAGCACTGTAGATATGCATTTTTAGACTCACTTCTAGCATACTCTATGTTTTTTTATTGAAAAAGGTTGAACAAGCTCCCGTTTTTGTAATTGAATTCATATTTCTTACCTTATATGTAGAATACACTTCGAAATGGCGAAGACCCAAAGTATGTTCCTTCCAACTCTTTTGATGTTACCGTTCTTTCGCACACATCGTATAATACCTTTGGTTTTTCCATTTAGGATTCAACGGGTTTTCTTTTTTCCGCATTTAGTTCAAAGGTGGAGTGGGCCAATGTCTGTTGCAGTCTATCTCAAATCCCACATCGAGAAAGAGCAAGTGACGCAACTCCTTGCTCAAACCTCGCTCCCTCGCTCAATTACACTTTCATTTTACATTACGAAGGACCCTACGGAGTACCCCTACAACAAACTTCGAAATATTGCACTTTCCAAAATAGTTACGTCTCATTTTTGGGTAATGGACATGGACATGTGGCCATGCGACGGTCTCTACGAGTCACTCCATCAGCTCGATTCGAAGTTTTTGAACGATGATCATTTAGCGGTGATCGTTCCCTCCTTCGAATACGTAGAAGACCTGAAGAGTTGCGAAGACTTCGAAAGTTGCGTGCAATCGTTTTGTTTTCTTTTCATTTTTCATCCCAGAATCGTTCCTTTTATTCCGCACACGCTTGAAGATCTTCGAAACTGCATGGCCGTCGAGAAATGCGACGAGTTTCGAAAGAAATACTTCGTTCACGTATCAACTTCTTTCTTATTTCATTCAGAACTATCTCACTCCGGAATGGTATTCGCTCCCTCCCAACCGACTCATGTTCGTTCCTTGCTTTCAAAGCTACAAACAGGAGCCTTATGTGATGGTGAAGCGCTCTTCTTTCCTCCCCACATTCGACGAGCGCTTTGTGAACTATGGGAAGGATAAGATTAGTTGGATTGAGAGTCTGCGGTATAACGGGTATTTCTTCGCTGTGATGACCGGATCCTTCGCGATCGATGTCCCTCATCCGCGATCGAGCTATGCGAAGAAGTTTTACAACGTGGTGGAGAAGCAGGGAGCGCAGGAATGGGAGATGAACAAGCTGTACGAGCAGTTTAAGAAGGAATTGTATGCACAGCCAGATCGGAGTGTTGTTTATTTTTGTGACAAATCGATGAATATGCAATAGAGGTGTTTGTTAAATGAAAGAATGGGTGGGGTGATTGAAAGGTTGGAAAAGAGAAATAGAAAAGGGGAATAAGGATAGGTATTATCAACTCAATGCAATTGAGGGCGATAGGGCAATGCCAAAACGGATTTAACTTCGCCGAAAGGATTTCATTATTCCGAAATTACCTGCACTATTATTATTGTTATTTCGCGATCCATCGAATGCACTTTTCATTTGAACAAACATCCACAAACATTCAACAGTGTCAATTCAAGCAATGCAACCATCCAATTCAATTCAATTCAATTCAATCCAATCCAATTCAAGCGTCAAGCCTTTTCGATTCCCTCCTTCAAACCTCATACTTCACATTCACAGGTTCGGAAATCAAAAACTCGCGAGTCTCCGGAAGACTCAGCACAAAAGTTGACGAAAGACACTCGTTCACCCACTTCTGCATCTGCACCTCGCGTTCTTTCATCGCAGACGCGTTCAAATGCGATCCAAGAATCTGCATTTTCTTCGCAGGGAACTTCACTGCCTTCAGCTCCTTCGAGAGCTTCCCTTCAATCTTCTTATAGAAGCTTCTACCCCTCAATTCCTCTCTTCACACTCACCTCAACTCGCTATATCGACGATACACGCGCCAACTCGCCATCGGCGTCGTCTCCACGCCTCCCACGATTTCCAAACAGTATTCCTGATACGGATTCGCTTTCACGCTGTAGGAAACCGCCATCTTGCGCTCGTAGCGAACATCGACGGAGATCATGCAGGCTGAAAAGATGTCCAGCATCTTGAAATCGATCGCGGGCTTGCTGTACGCGCGCTCCACCTCGTCCTTATCTACGTCCTCGCCGCCCAAAAAGATCGCCTACTGCGCGAATCGACGAACTTGACGAAGTCCTTGCTGCACTGTACGATTTCCTTGTTGGTCCAGTTGCTCATATTGATCAAAATGCCGTACACGCGCGAACAAATGTCCTTGTCCGCAAAGAGAACCAGCTTAGACTCGCCTCCGCCGAGCAGACGCATTTCTTCTTCGTCGACTTCGATGTTGAGGTTCTGCACGGAGACATACCACAGCAGATCCGCGGTAGGAGAGAGCAAGAAACAGTGATACTGCGTGACCACGAGATAGTGCGTTCCGTTATCCACTGTGCAGTGGAATACGTACTGCTCCTTCTCGCCGCGTTCTACCAAATAGCGTGTAGTGCTCGTGAAGAAGAGCATCTGCCCCGTCGCTGCGTGCTCATCGAAGCTTCGGATCACGCCGTCGCACAGCACACAGCGAGGCAATCGGAGCCGCTCCGGCCGTTTCTCGTTCACAATCACTTCTTTCGTGGTGTCCAACAGACGCGTCGTGTCATCCAACAACCCCGAAATCGGCTTGGTCACCACGCCGATCAGTCCCATTCCCACGCCTTCCACGGCTCCCTTCACTCCGCTCTTCTTCATTCCGCGAATCGGATCCATCACCACGCCCGTCACGCCCGATGTGATGCCGTGAATCAGGCCGCGACGTCCCAGAGCGCGCTGCTCCTTGTAGTGTTTGTTGAACGTCAGACTCGCCAGCCCGTTTCCGAGCGTTCCCGTGATTTTACTCGCCGTGTTCACCACGCCTTTCGTGGTGTTGCGCACCAGAATCTTCCCTCCGTTCTGCACGCGACGGTTTCGCTCCTCCTCGTCGATGGTCTCGTCGGCCATCGGATCCACAAAGAACGCCTTCAATCCGCTGCCGACATCTTCGACGAGGCCGACAGGATTGCCCAGCAGATTGATCGATCCCAGAATCTTCAACGCCTGCTTGGTGGCGATGGGAACGTAATGCTCGCTCAGCACTTTCGCTAAATCCTGCGTGGATCCCACGTATTCGGGGAGATTGATGCCGGTCAGTTTGATTTTGGTCTCGTCGATATCCGCCACCAAGCTGCACAGCGTGTCCAGAAGCGTTTGGAGAGGAAGAAGCGTCGGAATCGCGGGCAGGAACACACCGGTAACAGTCGTGGCGGGGTCGACTTTGTTGCTGACCAGAATGGTGAAGTCGTCGATCTTTAAGTTCTCGAGAACGACGCGTCCAGTGGATTGCGAAGCGGAGGGAACGACAACGATCGATTTGAATTCATCGCCTTCCAGAACGTTTTTAGAGGAGGAGTCGGAGAGAAGATGCAGAGGAATCAGAGAAACCAAATGGAGAATCGCGACGAGAAGACGATTGTCCATCGCGACGAAGAAACTCTGCAGCTGGAAGTGAAGATTCTCGAAGAAGAGAATCAGAGGATGACTCGGAATGATAAGCGACAGATGCAGAATTGGATCCTGCGTTAACTGACCCAATAAAACCGGCTCCAATGCATTGAGCAGCTGATTATCCACTTGGAATCGATTCACCTACGCCTCGTTCCGTTCAAAAAGAAAACCCACATTCATTTCGATTCGCTGCTCTTCGTTCTCGTAGCAGTTGATATCCAGGGAGATCCCACGAATCCCCGTATTCAACACTTCGATCGGCGCATCGTCCAGAATCGAGAGATCGATTCCCGCAAACGCAATGTTCCACGCAGTGTTCAGGTCCAGCTCCATCGCTTTGGACTCCCAGCGGACCTCCACGTCCGCGCTGGTCACCGCGGATTCTTTTGCGCAGACGCTTCCGCGCCAATCGGCGAATCGGCGAATCTTCAAAGCGTGCGAAGAGATCAGCGTATCGCCATCCAGAAGCTCGAGAGTCACTTCCGAACGACCGATCGTAGCGCCTCGCGGCAGGACGGCCCGGCCCTTCCACGCCACATTGGAATAATGTTTCGTCGGAACTATGCGTTAGGGAGAACACAAAAGCACACGTCGATAAGGAGCCAAGAAGACGAGTTTTAGCGGTCGAGCCATCGATTTGAGCTTCCGATTGACTTGAATGAGTCCCTCCACCGATCCATCGTTCACTCCCCATAAACTCATACCTACCAGCACGCCAAGTCGATCCGCTTCGCTTCCTTTTTCCACGCTCGTCACCAAAATCTGCCCAGCTTCGTTCAAGCACATTTTGCACCCGATCTTCACCTCCTTGAAAATCTTCGCTTGCTGCGCTAAAGCCAGCGTGGAAGGGACCGACGAGGCGCCCATTTCGCCGCAGCGGAAGACCTGATCGCCACAACGGATCTGCGCGATTAGCGAGCGGCTGAGCGAAGGCACGTTCGCGAACTGGCGGAGTTCGACGACCAAACTCTGCTCCTGCTCCATCTCGATCGGCTCATTGCTGGAAGAAGGCTGGAGCACTTCCTCGATCGTTTTGCCAGAGCGGAAATCTTGGTAGAATCCGCGGCGAAGCGCTCGCTGGATGTGGATGTTCGATACGCGCGTTGAAAGGTCGTTTTTGCTCTGCTGGAGCGAACGAAGCAACGGATGGGCGAGCAGCGCCGAGTGCATTGAGCTGTTCAGATAGAGCTCGAAGTCGAGACAATTGCGAGACTCCTTCAGAAGCGATAACTCTTTCTCCGAATCGTATAAGGATTTGAGAAGGTGCGGGAGATAATCCTTCTGGTCGTTGTTGATTTTGTTGTTCTTGCAATGCACCAGATACAAATACAAACAGCCGCCGTTACACAGAGGATTCTCTTCCTGGAACGGCACTGGCACGACTTTCATTGTGTTGTACTCCGTCACCGAATCGTACTCCACGAACGTATTGAACTCCACCACCGATTTCTCGAACGCCACGCTCACCTTCACCTGCAGTACTGACGAATGGCGCCGCATAATGGTCTCCTCATTCACGAAAACGTGGGATCCCCGCTTTGGTTTTGTCTCCAACATGGTTTCTCCATTGCTAATTCGAGTTGTGATGGTGCACGGCTTGCGCTGGAGATTCCGAATGCTCACATTGCGCACGTTCAGCCAGTAGTACTCGTCGTTCAGCAGGAGATCCATCGTCGCACGCGAGTTCTTCGCGGTCATAAACACTGGCTGTTGCGGCGGGTCGCTTGGACTCAACGGAGTCGGCGAGTAAATCGGCTTCATCGCGTATTCCTCGAAGTCGGTGAGGGCGGAAATGAAGTTGGAAACCTCCGTTTTCAACGCGTCATGATTGAATTGGATCTGCGTGATGGAATCTTCCAACACGACGCGCGTGTATTCGAGCTGCTTTCGCTGCTTCCACTCGTCCCGCTCCAGTTTCTCGCGAATAATGATGATGCGCGTCGTGTCTTCGACCTCCACGGTGACCTCCAGCGTTCTCGACGGATTCTCGCGCTGCACCGTCGTTACTTTGCCCAGATTCGTCAGATCCACCACCACGCAGGGAACGAACGTCTCCTCGTTCGGCGGCGAATCGATCTGCTGCAAGAACAGCACGACCATCTGCGGACCTGCAGGGTGCGGTAGCACGTAGAACTGCGAGTCTAACGGAGCGACGGGAAGCGCATACGAGAGATCGGAGGACATCTGGAGCACCTGCACCATGTCCAACGCCGAGTTGTTGCTGACGCAGATCGACACGTTCTCCGGCTTCAATCGCTCCACCGTAATCGTCTGCTGGCCGTTCACCTCCGCGGCGGTGAGGCTGAACAGCGAGCTGTGGTTGGAGAGAACGTCCATCTGGTTCGATTCGGAGAGCAGAACGTCCCACTGACCCACAGCGTCCACATCGAACTGCGCCGATTTGACTTCTTTCGCTACGGACGGAGAAGAGAGCGGAGTGCTGGACTCCAGAATGGAGAACGACAGCAAATGGCGAGACGCTGGGAGCAGAGACGACACACAGGCGCAGGAATGCCGAGGAAGAGAGAGCAATTCCGTGTTTTGGTAGACCGCCATATCGAATCCAGTGCGATTAATGAACATGTAGCGAGGCAGGATCGTGAGCAGTTTCGTGTGGATGAACGGAGCGTTGAGGCGACGCACAACGATCGTGTAGAACGTCTCTCTCGGCATGAACGGAAGCTGCGCGGGGACCTTCACCACACTGGACCCTTCGCTCACCTTCGTCTTGTCGCTCCAGTCCGAGTTGTCGCGACGCAGCCGAATCACCACTTTCTTCTCGTCCTCGGAATACAGCACGGGGGCCAGCGACTGCATGTCCTCCATCGATACGGCACCTTCGAACCCCATCTTGACAGAAGCGCCGGGGAGACGAACCACGGGAGAAGTCTTCGATTTTCCAGATAGGCTACAAGGTAGAGAGGAAGAGAAAAGCGGACAAGAGGAGATCGGGCGTTCGGTTGACGATCCAGAACGGGGAATAGATCGAAAGCAGAAGGTACTGCGAAGAGGGCGATCCGTTCTGCTCGAACGAATACACATACCGCAACGCGCAGCGACTGTTCTCGATATCGGTCAAGGCGTACTCTCCATTTCCTTCGGTCACGATCTACAGGGTCACAAACGATAAGAGAAGGCGTACGGGGATTAATCCCTGATTCCAAACGAACTGATTGCCGGTCGGGCGCAGCTGAATGCCGTACTGGTTGCTATTCGCTCCGTCGATACACGCCAACTCCACTTCTTTGCCCGAAGCGATCATTCCGGTCTCGATGATGCCCTTCGAGTGCATCACAATGTGGTATTCCAGATCGATTGGGAGCAGATTCTTCAGCACCAACACGGGAAGAACCACAATCTCGAATAGACTTCGACGATTTCCCACATTCCCGGCAATCCCATTCACCATCTGACTGTTCAGTTTCTCCAAAATATCGCTCTTTGCTTTGGGTGTAGGCGGAATAGGCAAGGCGTTCAGCGACTCGCTCTCCACGGAATGCACCACGCTGCGCACCAGAACGTAGTGGGGATCCACCGAGTTGCCGATATTCAGGCAGATTCGGCGGAAGTTCAGCGAGGTGATATCTTCGATCGAGAGGGCGCAGTACCCGTTCGGATTGCCCAGCATGCATCGACCCTTCATCCCCAAATGGAGAGGGCAGTACAGCGATTCGCTCGCTGCGACTGTCTTCGCTGAATCATCGCGCCACACGCCATGGCACACACTCACCACGTGCGATACAGAGTCGTAGTAAGGACTTTTGAACGGCACCGGAACGCCGAAATAATTATCCGTCAAGTGCTCCAAATTGATCTGCTTTCGCTGCGACTGATGAGCCACCGGGGTTTCCGAATCGCTCGTCTCTTGCGTGAAGTGGCAGAGAACGGGCGAAGACGTGAAGTTCGTCATCCACAGCATGGGAATCAACATCATGACACGCAGACCATTCCGATTGATGAGTCGCACCACAATGTCGTAACAGTATTCCCCGTTCTGCGTGTACAAGCTGAAGGGAAGATCACCTTCGCTGTCGCAGCAGAACTCAACGCGTCGGAAGTTCTCCACTCGCAGCGCGACGATTCGCTGGTTGTACGACTCCGTAGCGCTGGGGAGAGATGTTGGATGCGCCGGAAGCGTCGTTCGCTTCATTCCTCCGGCAGGAATCACGATCTCGCTGTCGACACTCTCGTGCTGGAATTCCTTCGGAGCAACCTGCAACGCTCGCTTCCATGCTTCGATTTCCTGCTCGTTCCTCGAGAGGAACAACAGCTTCTCTTCCCCTACCACGCACGAGAACAGAACGCCTTCCTCTACAGACACAGAGCCCTCCACGCTGCAGCCAATCAACTCGCGCGGCTGTCCCGCCTCGGTCGCAAAGGCGGAGTAAACGCGAACGCGAGGCTCCACTTGGTAGAGCTCGACCCATCGCATTTCCACTTTTTCGCCCACGCAGACGTACAGCAAACCCTCGATCAACAGCTGATGAGAGCGATCGTCCAGAAGGCTCCACTGCGATCGAATGATCTCCAACTGCCGAGATATTCCTCCGTCGTAAATCACTTCGAAGGTGCACGGAAGATCGAGCTTGTTCTCGATTGACATGTAATAGCCGTTCGTAAAGGTCGTGGTAGATTCGCAATGCGAGAGATCGCGAAGGAAGTGAATCGCGGAAGAGCAGAAGTCCGTCGAGATCATTACATTTATGATGTGATCGGCGTGGATCGTTACGGACGACTTGGCATCTCGTGCTTTCACTCGATTTTCTTCCGCTCCGCTTCGCTGCACCATTTGAATCATCAGTTCCCACGGTTCCAGCAGTGGCTCCCACGCGACGCGGACCAAATTGTAGAAGTCGGCGGACAGCGAGAAGGTGAGCAAAAACACGAGCTGCTGCTTGAAGTCCAGAGAGAGATGGAGATCTTGGAGATGGAGCAGCACGAAGGGAACCTCCACATCGCCCACATCGTTTACTACGGTCACTTGAAGCGGATGAAGCTGCAGATCCAGATTCAAACTGAACGGCAAGGACGCAGAGACGAGTGTAGGGAGCTTCAGAATCGGGAAGGAGGAAGTGGGTTCGTCAGGAGAGAAGGGACGAGGAGCCGTGCCTTCGGAACGAACATCTGGCTTCAACTCGTCCATGCAATGCGTTACGATCAGCAAATCGCGATAGCCGATAGAGACAATCATGTTGCTTGTGTCTGTGACCGAGACAGTGATGTCTTTAAACGAATTCTGCACACGGATGGTCATGTCGCAGTTCCAGCTCTGCAGAATATCGTTCACATCGTGGATCGGCATGAGATCGTCCATATCGCACTGCGTGAGACGAAGATCCAGTACTTTGAGTAGCAGCGAAACGTCCATTGAGGAAGTCAGTGAGATGGAAGAGTCCAGACCAACAGTCAGAAGAAGCATCGAGGATGGCTCCGTGAAGGAGGAGGCGAGGTAGACAGTGATCGGGTTGATAGCAAAGCGAATGTGCAGATTGGGTAGAAGAGAGGCGACAAAAGGAGACAATGCTTTTGCCTCTGCTGATTTCTCCACTGGCTTTTCCACCGGCTTCTCCACTGGCTTTTCCACTGGCTTCTCCACTGGCTCGTCCTCCAATCGTAAGGAAGAAAGCTCATCTCCAGACATCACACTCTTTGCATCGCTTTCAGCGAACACCTGCGTGAATCCAGACGCGATACCCAACATTTCCATAAACAAAGGCGCAGCAAACACGCGAATTCTACCCATATCTCCTCGAATATCGATCGTATTGGTATCGTGAACGAAGCAGGCAAACGACAAGGCTGCTTTGGATTCATCGCCAAGCTGAACAGGCTCCAAGAAGAGAGGCAGCAGCTTCACATCGGCACGCGTATCGCAGAGACTCATCTTCCGAAGAAGCAGATTGAGCTGGATCGCAGATTGATTGAGATACAAATTAAGATATAATCCGTCCAGCTTCAGCATCACCAACGAGAGAGGATGGGTTCCATACTTCAATGAATCTTCTTCTGTGTAGCCTCCTCGCTCGCGAAGCAACTCGACCACAAAACCACTCATGCTCAGATCCACAAAGAATCGATTGAGCTTCAGAGCAGGACGAGAAACTGCCACTTCCTTGGTGGGTTCTTTCTTTGCAGACTTCTCATTGGTCGACTTGGCTTTGACCATTCCATCTTCTTCTGGGTACTCTGTGACGGATTGTTCTGCAAAATTGGGAAGTAGGCGATGGACCAAAAACTGAAGCTGGCTCTGATTCAGCGTCATCACGATCGGAGACAGATTGATATTCACTCTGAACACAGAGCTGAGCGTGATAATCATATCGATGTTGGTCCGATGGAGTACATTCTGCTGTAGCATCTTTCCGCTCACATCATCCATAAACTGCGACTCCATGCACATTCCGTGAATCGATAGCAGCAACTGCGTGGTTAATGGACTCTCCGTCATCGACTCCAGCAGCTTGTCTCCGTCTCCGCTCATCACCATTTGCTCCTCGCTGCTGTTTTGCAGTTGGATCTCGCCCATCTCAAATCGCAGGCACTCGTCGCTGCTGCTTGAGCTCGGAATCAGCACCACGATGTTCTGAATGCACACATCCGCCTTTGGCAGCACGTACGTCGTTCCCACGCCCTCGCAAACCACTTCCCGAATGATGTTCGACTGCACCAGCGATGCGAACAATCCGTTCACCGAGGAATCGATGAGACTGTGCAAAGAGGCTACCGACTCCACTGCCTCCGTCTGCTCCACAGGCTCTGCTGGCTCTGTAGACGCTACAGCCTCTGCAGAACATTCAGCAGACTCCACCACTTCGCTCTCTTGGCTTTCTTTGGGTGCTAGCAAACGACCAATGCTTCCGTGCTTCATATACTCCAGCAACTCATTCACAAATCGCATTCGCAACGCCAAGATCGGCGCAGATACCTGAAGCTTGATGGTGGTGTCGTTCACGCCGTTGTACAGACTGCTATTCACCAGCAGAATGTCCGCAGAGAGGAAGGGAGATACCGAAGTGGACAGCACGTCGGGATATTTCTCGGCTCCACGCGTAAGATCTGTGATCTTCACTCCGTCAATCCCCATCGAGATGTGAGTCTGCTCCGTCGCCTGCGTGAAATCCAGACTGAATCCATTCATCGAGGTCAGTAAGATGGGAACATTGTTGTCACACAGCATATCCACTAAGGCCGACTGCATTCTCACGTGCATATCCGTCTGCGCTTCTTGCGGATGGGCAGAGATCGTCGGACTGGCCACTTCCTGCTCGGAGGGAGGCTTCGCTTTGTCTCCATCTTCTAGAGAAGGGAACGGCGGGATCTCGGGGAGAATCGACAGAATGGGCTGAATGGCGCTGGCATTCGCGTGGATACTCACGACGCCCATTTCCACGAACATGTTCGTCGCCGCTCTGTACACTTCGTTCAGCATGGACAACTCCCCCACTGTGCAGAATTTCATCTTCAAGAAGGGAGAGCCGCACTCAGGCGTGGAAGATATGAGTGTGGGAGCGTCGGTTAGCGGAATACCTTGCTTTTCAAGTGCTTCTTTACGAACATTATCGAAGATGTTCAGGGTAGGAATCGTAATGTCCACATCCATATCGTACATGTGATCCAAGTAATGAATCGCCATGTCTTGCATCGAAATGTCCAGTAAGGAATCGCCCTTTTGCGGGTTCAGGGACAGCCGCAACTCGTCCAATTGCACTTCGATCTCCATTGAAGGCTTGTATTGAAGGAGCAGCAAGTCCTCGTATGAAAGATGAACAACCCCATGCAAGGGCTCTTCGATTGGCGACAGCGGCGCAATGGGCGATATCGAAGCCATCGGAGAGTGAATCGGTACGGGAGAAGTCACCGTATCGCTCAGATCACACAGCGGACGGCGATATTCCTTCTGATGCTGTTTGATCACCTGGTAGAGAATGCGCTGCTGCTTGTTGGAACTGGACTTCCAGTCGTCGATCGAGTGGTCTTCCAGATAGGGCGAGCCATCGAACGCAATGCAGCTGAAGAGAAGCTGCTTGGGCTGCAGAAGAAGCTTCATCACGTCGATATCCAACTCCTTCTGCTTCTCTGCGAACACTGGAAGAATACCGTAGCTCCACGAAATGAGAGAGGAAATGAGCTCGGAGGTGATGCGGACATGAACGAGTCCGATGGAGATGCCGATCCGCATTGATTTGTAACGAACCTCGTTCACAATGCAGGTTTGCATCGTAATCCCCATTTGGAATGGGAGAACGAGCATCGCCTGAGGATAGGCAGAGAGGATCGGCATAACCGACAAATCCCTTCCTGCAAACACCCGTCCGTCCATTAATCCGACCGAAATATCCTTGATACTGATCGACATGGTATTGTACAAGTCATCCACGTCGTACTGCGCGATGTCTTCGGTCAGCTCTTGGTTCGGCTTGGAAGTCACTGCAAGCTCGCCCAACTGGCAGATCAAAAGCATGCTCTTTGAGCGATGACCTGTGCAGTAGTTCGGAATGATCAGATTCATGGGGCAGATATTGACGTTCAACTCCATTCCCTTATTCGATCGGAGAGCCGCCATAATGTTTGAATCTCCGTTCCGCAGCGATGTGATCAGATTGTACGCCTTTTCCTCATAAGAACTCATCACGATGATATTCTCTGGCACCAAAAACTTCATCACTTCCAGCAGCCAAGGCACATTCACAATGATGTCCATCGTCTCCATCGCCATGTTCACTCGCATTCCGCACGAATTGTCCAGTCCTGGAATCTCAATATGGGTCTGGAAGAACGGGGTCTTGTATCGTTGATACATGTCAGTCATCAAAATCGAGGTCGGGATCGCTTCAGCGGATCGAAGACGAATCGAAACGATGCTGGAATACTTCGTTTTGGCCGTGATGTCGTCCAGCACCTTCACATCGCGAATCATCGACCAGCACTCCAAGAAACTCTTTCGTTTGTACGCACGCAGATAAACTCCGTCCACACACACGCTCATCAGTCGCTGTTCCTTCTTCTTCAGCATCAGAAGGAAACTTCCCAAGAAGAAATCCACGGAGATCTGCACGTCCATCGGCTGTCCGCCCTCCCACGGATTCAGTTCTTCTTCGTTCAGCTCCAGCTCCTTATACAACTCAGTTCGCATGAGCTCCTCGTCGTCCTCGTCGTCGTCTTCATCGTTCACACTCGCAGACCGCGATTTCAATTCTTTCTGAAGCTCGTATTGCGCCATTTTTCGGAAGAGAATCGTGTTTTCGACAGAGAACAAATCCTCCAATTCCTGCTTCTGCTTCAACGCTTTTTTGTCTTTCTTGATGGAAGGGAGGAACGGCGATTTCAGCACGCGTTTATACAGCGTAATGTACGTATCGCGCTGCTTCTTAAACGCTAAATAATCCTTCCATGTTGTCGCTGCGCGCTTCTTCTTATTCTCTTTAATCACCGAGTTGATCGCATAGCGCCACCATTTTCTCGGCTGCTCGTTAAGTTTCTAAAAAATTCCGCAAAAACACACAAGGATATTTTCTTGACAACGCTTGACGTGGGGCGACGAATCCCGATCTGCGCCCGTTTGCTCTGCAAGCTGAGATTTGCCGCCAAAATCTTCAAGTCGCGCATCTGCGAATCGGTCAGCGTTAAGTTGAACTGCGCCAGCGTCGTTTCCGCGATCACCATCGGCGAAGCCGTGTTCGCAAACCGCCAGCATCGTCGCGCAAACACGGATGCGTACTGAAGATTTTCCGATGAGCAGAACTTGGGATACGTCTCTTTAAACTTGTCTAAGAATAGCTTTTCTTCTTCGTCTTCGTTTCGACCGCGCACAGCGTCCTTCCGAATCTTGATATACGTTTTCACGAACTTTTGGTTCACGATCACCTCGGCGTTCCATTCTAGATCGCTCAGAGCACGATTCGCTGCTTCCTCAGGTGTCGGCTTTCGAAGTTCTACGCCTCGAATATCCATCTGCAATCCAATTCCAAGCGTACAAGGATGCATGATGTAATTCTGGGGCATCAACGCTGATTGGGTCGTATTGCGATTCATGAACGCGATGCCCATGTCTTCGATCAACGCATTGGGATTGGAGGTATTCACCTGCTGTGAATTGTCCGAGTCCCAGTACATGCCCAACAGATGCACCATAATATCCTTCGAAAAGACGCCATTGTGCGAAACTGGCTTTGAGGCGTTCGCGTCTGCACTGGAAGTACTGTCAGAAGAGAGGGACTTCTCCTGATTGGGAGAGATGATCAAGGAATCCAGGGTAAGACCGCAGCAAAAAGGGTGCTTCGGATCCGAGCTGTGATCTTCGTAACGAAGATGGACTTTTTCAATGCGTAGTTCAAAGTTGCGAATGATCTGGCTCACAAGATTTCCTATGAGAGATTTATCCTCTTTCTCATGCAGCTCTTTTTCTTTCTTGGCCTCCTTCTCATCAATTGCCTGCAAATCAAAAAGACATTTACAGGGGTACCTTCAATCGTTGGCGTTTCAGTTCGATCTCACGGAGTTTGAACGATTCCTCGTCGTATTGAACTTCTGAGCGAGGGCAGACGACTGCATATATCTGGCTAATATTTACCTTCGTAGGCTTTCTGCCAATCTCCTTCCAAGGAACCTACGATTCAACCACACAGCACAGCCTCAAACACGAATGTTTAACTCTCCAATGAATCCAGATTTGATATCCACAGGCAGCTGTAGAAAATCGAGCGCTTCAGTTTTTATTTCCTAATCCATTAACCGATGTGCTTAGCACCAACCAGATTCTTCAATTTTACATCTCCTTTCCACATAGAGACCTTAAGGTCCTTTTTGTCTATGTCTTTGATATATTCTCCCAAAAAACGTGTTATCAGGGAGTTTACAACGTCCTCTAACATAGTATAATGATAATGAGGAACGAAATCGATTCAAAATATAAGATTAGATACATACCAAAAAACAAACTATTTCGGGTATTCCTCTAAAAACACTCAAATCCATTGGATTCCTTAAATAAACACCGTTTTTCACACTTTTATGACAATTACAACACAATGATCATAGAATGGACTTGCTGAAAAAAAGACCTTTTTCCTGTTCTACTCTTCGTTCTGGAGCTATTTATGTCATTTTACAGCCGTCAAAACTAAAAAGACGTATCAAACGAACATGGTGTACGGACACACTTTATATACTTATAGAATGGAAGCTCATAGTTTCCAGAAATAGAAATGATATTCCTAGATTGGCTCGAAAGTTTCACAGGATGTGCGCTCTCTTTCGCTATCCACTTTAAAAGCTAATTATCCGCAAATGAAATAGAAACAAAGAATACCAAATGAGTGATGTACAGTAATCATTGATTATCATACCTGACACGCGTATTGCTTTCCATATTCCATTTCTGTTCAACGGCCAAACTGAACTCTGTGGGCCAAGGAGATCGTGAATAAACTACAGACACCGTTGTCCTCTCAGTTACTTTTTCGTCAAAGCTTCAAGTAAACTACGGAATGGAGTCAAGAAGTAATGTATGTTGCTCTAAATTGCATCCTATTCTAGAACATGCAAAACCCCCAGTTGGCTCCACCTTCAACTTATGTTGCATATAGTACTTCCTCTTGTCAACAATCAGTCGGTGCAAAAAGTAATGAAAGACTGTGCTCCAATACAATAGACTCTTTGAATGATTCCCGGAATCCATATTCCTCGTATGCGTTATTGCTCCCTTTACTGAGTAGTAGAGTGTCATTACTTCCAACAAATGATATTCCGACATCACAATGCTCAAACTCACATTCGACCTGTATGTTTTTTGTTACCCTACAATTGTAGCGAGTAACCTACATCAAGCTGATCCAACTCCTTCTTTTATGTACTACAATAATAATACTGTATCTGCCCAATCTACCAACCCACCTTCACCATTCCCTAATTCAGTACCATCGTCTGGATTGATGACTCCGCGAAGCTATCATTTCTCGTACTCTCCTCTCCTCTCCTTTTTCTCAATAGACCTACCTCCATCCCCTCCGACATCGCTCCTCATTACCTGCTTTCCTCCACTGGGTCCCGCCAGCAACCCTTTTCCACGTCACTTCTTCAGCGGTCGTACACAGATGTTGATCGTTACTCCTCGTCCTATCGGCAGAAACCAAACGACGCCATATCGATGTACAGCTTCCAAAGTGGAGATTCTGACGATTATTCGGGCGATTTCTCGATGAATTACCCTGCCAGAGAACATTCGAACAAGTATCCAAGTAACTACCCGCAGTACTATTCTCCTGGAAATCCAAACAGTTATCCTACCAGAAGTCCGAACGGTTATCCTAACGGATACCCATATGCTTATTATTATCGAAATGAGGATACGAACGGGTATTACAATAGCTCTTCCGAAATAGTAGTCAATGATTATCCAACCGATTATCGAAGCAATTACTCGAGCCACTATCCAGCCAGTTATGTAAACGATCTCTCGAATGACTTTATGAACGAATACCCAAGTGACTATCCTGGCAGCTATTTAAGTGATTATCCTGGCAATTATCAGAGTGATTACCACAATAATTATCAAAGTAACTATCAAAGTAGCTACTACCACAATAATTATCCAAATAACTACCAAAACGAGTATCCAAACGGTTACCAGAACAGGTATCCCACTGTCTCTTCTTCCAACAGATCATACCCAGCTCGCAAGGATCCTTCCTCTTCTCGCTATGCAGCCTTCCCCGATCGCTCGTTCGCTTCTTCATCGCTTCTGAATCCTAGATCGAATGGGCAGTTCCCTTCCAATCGCTCCTTCGTCGTTCCGCAGATCAACTCCGCCTCGCCTTCCACGTTCTCCGAAGCTCAGCAGCGTCTTCCCGGTCGTCCGTCTCCTTCTCGAGACAACAGTAACGCTTCGTTCTATGAGTTCGACAATGCGGGACATTCCGGAATGCCGTATTACGCTGATCTACCGAATCGAAGCTTGAATAATCTGCAGAAAACACAGAGAACCAACGAAGCGATTCAAGCAAGCAGTACCGAAGAAAAGGACATTTATTCGAAGGGAAAAGAAGCGGTTCAACTGGTGCTAAACTACCCCTTCTACACAAATCTGTGGAAAACCCGCCAAGTCGATGCAAACGGAAACGGAGTGATCTACGAAGAAGCCGTCCAGTTGTACCAAAATACGTCTCCAGATGCCTTGCTTCATAATCTAATCAAAGAGTGTGTCAAGCTAAAGAAGCTTTGCCGATTACTCAGCGCTCGTGTCTTGTTCTTAGAGCTGCTTTGTAAATACTGTGACGACAAACTGGCATGGAGAGAGTTCATTCGAATGGAATTCGAGCTAGGAGAATGCCGAAACGCCCAGTTCCTTCTGCAACGCGCTTTGGATCTGTTTCCGCAGGACTTGTCATTCAAAATCAAGCAAGTGCGAGTGAATGAGCGGCTGCAGGACGAGAAAGAGCTTCTGTGCATGGTGCAGTCGATTACCCAGAAGCAATCGTCCAAGTTCTCTCGCATTCTAATGACTTGCTTCTTGTCGTTGGGGAGATTGGGAAACCAAAAGGCCATCGCAGAACTGGAGCGTCTCGTGTTTTCGATCCCATATTGCACGCTTCTGGAGACATACGAGTTTTTTTATTATTACGTGAACGCGTTTTCGTACACGTTTATGCTCTCCGTCATCATGCATTTGGTTCGCAAGAAGGTCAAGAAGGATTGCTTCTTGGTCTACGCTCACGAATACGTCGAATATCTCTTTTTGAACATGGAGGCCGCTGAAGGACAAACGAAATACGCCAAGCTTTATCACCAACTATTACCATCACTATCACCATCACCACAGAAGTCGTATCAAGAAAAAAAGGGTCATTGGGAAGTGTTTCTCTCCCGAATGCAGTACCGAACTCGAATCATTCTTCTAATCTACGCCAAAGCGCTTCAAGAAGTTTGCTTGGGAAGGAGTCGGATGATGAATAGAAAGAATGGTCGAGACCTCTCTTCGTTCACGTGAATGAGCAGTTTCAAAAACTCAAGCTCGAAACGGCTCAATGTCTTTGTTTGTGTCCCCCCGCAATGAAATGGATCCCCTATCTCAGCATCAGCAAAATCCTTTGCATGTTGGGATATCCCAAGAAATCCCGATTCGTTCCTCTTTTTTTTCTTAAAAACTCACGCTTAGGCGCTTCGATGCTGCATCAAACCCAAGCATCCGAGCTACTCCACCGTCCTCATCAATCTGGCCCGCATGGAGTTCTTCCAGCGGCACATCGCAGAGAGTATTTTCATTCTCCGCCATGCCATTCTGCACTTCGTCGATGAGTGGAAGTTCGGAATCGAACTTTCCAATTTTCTCGTCATCACGGACCGACAATTGGAGGCTTTCCTCCTCTGTAAAAACCTCCTCAAGGGGCAGATCGGCGCTGGCCGGCTCTGGACGCTGTTCATCCACATCGTGCACGAGTATCCGATCTCCCCCGCGGTTATCTCTAGGATGTTCGGTCCCGAGGAAGCGCTGCGCTACTTCCGGATCGCTCTGCATTACGTGGCGAAGTCTGGCGAGCTGTGGTGCGAAGGAGCGCGGATCTTCCTGGATCCGACTTCTCCTCATTTCAGTCTGCACAACGCACAGATCGCTCTGAACTACGCGGTAATCTTCACGCCTCGCTACGGAGACACGTTCATCGAAGTACCCGATTCAATGGCCGCGTGATCCGCAGGGAATTCGACTCCTGATGCTCTCGTCGGACGTTTTCCTGGCGTTCCACGACTGTCCGAGCAACATGCTAGCGTTTTTGCTGCAAACAATCCCGTGTTTAATGCCATATCTCCATCGGTGTGCTTTGTATATCCCTAATTACGGTCCTTTGTGGTATCGTTGTTGCTCGGATCGCCTCGCTCCCTCTATGGAAGTGCTCCTCTCGGCTTCGTTCCTTTGCGCGCAAGCGATCGCGCGAGATGCGAATATCTATTTCTCGGCGGTGAAGGACCTGGCGAAGCGCCGACCGGACCGAAGCCGATTGTACCGAAGTCGCTTTTCTTTTGCGTTTCTTTCTGATTTTGATTTTGTCAAGAGCTGTAAGTCATTCTCTTTGGGTCGCAGGACCAAATCTCTATTTGATACCTTGCCGTTTAATTCTTGAAGTTGTTTATTGCATCAAACCATCATTTATAAAGGGTATAATAATAATAAAAATGATAAAAATGATAATGATAACAATACTGATAATAATAATAGTAGTAGTTAAAATAAAGAGAAAAAACAGAAAGAGTAATATCAAATGACAATGAGCCAAGAAGGAAAAAACAAACATCTCGATTACAACGAAGACGCTTGCATGGCAATCATTCGATAACTGCAATACAACCCTTTGATCACGTCTCTCCGATTACAAAACAAGAACCGTTTCGGGTCACACTCCTTCTTCGCCTCCTTCGAAAACTCCAATTCAAACTGCGACCGGCTTTCAAGTCCCTCCGTGATCACTTCAATGCGTCGAATTCGCGCGAACGACGCGAAGAACTGAATCCACTCCAACGTGATCGGCTCGATCGACATGAACCGAACATCCAAGGCCTCGTCCACCAATTTGCAATGCTTGAACACTTCCGAAAAGTCCGATCGATGCTCGAATGCCATTTTCTTCATTCGCAAAATGTCATCACAATTCATGCGATCCGCCATTTCCTCCAGAAACTCTTGCTTTTCGTAAGAACGCCCGCGACTCACACTCAGAAACAAGATTCGCACGATAAAATATTGTTCTAATAGTGTTCCAGAGCAATGATCGATGATTGTGGAATTCCAAAAAACGCGGTGATTTTGCTCAATGCAAGATCGCTCGCGATACCCCAGCTGAAACGCCCCTCGACAAGGGAGTTTCACAGTTGAATTAAAAGGCGTTTCGGGCCATTCGCCCTCCTTCGGACAAAGTCCCGAATTTTGCCTTTCCCAAAGTTCCTCCAATTTTGTGACCATGAAATAATGGTGAAAATAGTAGGGATTTTTCTCTTTCAAAAATAGGGTCAAGTCCAATATATGGCCCCGAAGGTGCGAAAAAATACGGTCTGGACTTCCGGCTTCGCGTTTCACTTCCATTACAAACGTGACCGAAGTTAAGAATTGGGTCTAGTTTTTACAAAAGGCCCCTAATTCTACTCCTTCCGAAAGATCGTCGTACACAACAAACCGAATCGATTCGGTTTTGATTGGCTGCATGACGAACCGAATTCCTTGGATCAGCAGAAGAACCGCGGGACTGCTCCCAATATGGGCGTTATCGTCGTATTTCTTTCGGAAGATCGACGATCGGACGTTCATCAGGGAAACGGAGAATTCGAGAAACGTGGAACCGACCGGAGGATAAGGGTCATCTACGGTGTATGTCCCGATTTATCTCTACAACATCCTTCCGCATTATTGGGCCCGAGTACTCCAAATGGCCCCGAATTATATCGACACATTTGGGTCACCACGCCTCGAAAAGGCGGTTCGCAGGGGCGTTTCGCGAGGGATCCGACGCGAATTCGGCGGCCTTCGACGTCGCACCAGGACGCGTTGACGCAGGCCATTCCGACCAGAACGCCGTTTGCGCAGGGGCGGCAAGCGATGTTTCCGCGCTCTCGACTCCCGCGGGTATCGCCGGCGCAGAGGGAGCAGTCGGTGGCGCCGCCTTCGGAGAAGTACTGGCCGTAGCACTTGATGGCGGCGCGCGGATTCCCGCGGAGAAAAGCGGATCCGGAGGGGACCTGGAGGCAGTGCGTGGAGTGGGAGGTGGAATTGTGGAAGGGGAAGGAGTGGCGCGGACAGCGCGCGCAGGGAGTGGCGGCCTCCCAGCGGCCAGACGGCGAGCAGAAGCGGCGCGTGCGGCCGAAGGCGGGGGCCTGGCAGGCGGCTTCGGCCCAAGAACCCGAGGGAGTGGAGGGAAAGGACGCGTCGGCCGTGCGCTCCGAGGGACAGAAAGAGGAAGGATCGGGGTTTGAAGAATGATCGGGGTTTGAAGAATGAGAGGAGTGATCGGGGTTTGAAGAATGATCGGGGTTTGAATGAGAAGAGTGATCGGGGTTTAAATGAGAGGAGTGATCGGGGTTTGAATGAGAAGAATGATCGGGGTTTTGTGAAGGAGGAGAAGAAGAGGATGGCGTGGGTTGCAAGGATGGATGGCTTGTGGGTTGCATGGAAAGCTTTGGCGAGGCTGGTGGCTGCGCCGATTCGCTGGCGTCCCTTCCCTCGGTTCGCTCGGTTCGCTCGGTTCGCTCGGTTCGCTCAATTAATTCTTCCTTCGCTCGCTGGGAGGCCGGCGACGCCGCGCGTTGAATCGACTTCTGCAGCAGCGAATCCGACGCACTGCCGCAGCTCCCTTCCACCGGCCTCCACGTCCCTTCCGCCGTGCAGAACCGCCAGATCCAATGCCCGTCTTCACACCGACGACTCACGTAATTTACCGCGGAACTCCGTTTCCACAATACGCGGTTCGCTTCGTCGTACTCCTCAGGACACATCGCCGCTTTCTTCGAAGATTTCGCACTCCTCGCAGTCGGCGACGCTTTCTTCGCCTTCTCCAGTTTCCCCAGTTTCTCCAGTTTCTCCCAGAGAGGGTGGAACTCTTCCCTGATCTCTCCGGATTGAACAATATTCTGCCGTGTAATGTTGGGCGCGCAAATCAATTCGATTTCCGAAAACTGAATCTCCGTTTGGGTGCTTCGATCGAACGGTTCGGCTCGAAACTCCACACGCGTCACGTAGCCCAGGTCGTCGAAGGTCTGCGCGAAGCTCGAGACCGCGTTGGAGGGCGCGGGAGTGAGGATAACGTTGTGAATGATGCGGTTTAGCTGCCGAAGATCCGCGAAAATATGCAGCATGACCGGCTTGGACACGCGATATCGCATCGAAATCCGCGTTAAACACGTCGGAATCAACGCGAAGGACATCGGGGCCATCGTCTCGCTCCACCGCGGGAGCGCGAGGAGCGTTTCTTTCTGGAAGGTCACGATGGCGAACGAAAACGAAGCGAATGTGAGATGGGAATGACGGGTCACGTGCACCAAAACGGATTGCAGCGCCACATCGCGGAGAATTCGAACAGAACAGCGTGGCGTGCAGTTGAACCGGCTCTCCACGGACGGAACCACGCCCCTCACCGATCCAATGGTAACCGATTTGGCCGCTCCAAAGTCCAAACAAAGCAGCGAAACGACCGTGCCTTGCCAGGCTTCCAGGCGATCGGACGCCACGGGGAGTCGCAGGACGAACGACGGCTTCACGATCACGCTGGGCGCCTCCGAGCCGCTCTTCCAGTCGTACGGCAGAGACGGAGTGGAGGGGAGAGAGAACTGGAGCGAAGAGAGCGGCGGTGAGAAGACGGAGGTGCTCAACGTGGTCGAATGCGAAGCTCGCAGAATCAGCGTGTACGTCCAGTGATCGGTAGAGACCGTCATAGACATCATGGAACCACTGAACACTTCGTAGAGAGAACCACTCTCCAGACACACCGTGACCGATGAAACGCCCATCCACGTCGGAATGTGGATGGTGTCTTCGATCCAAAACGAAGAAAAAGTCGCGGGCGAAACGTCCAGGTTCACCTTGAGAAAATTCCCGGAACATTCCGTGAGCTGCAGATGACTCGAAATCACGGCGGAATCCGTGTCGTTATCCGCGGGAAACACCTCATTTCGGCCAATTCCGAACAAAATCTCGTGCGTCCAATCAAAAAACAAGCCATAAGACAAAGGAATCACGCCCTCCGGCTTCTCCATATCTCCAGTTTCCACGGTTTCTCCGATTGAAAAGTAGACGTAGCATCCCCGCGGGACAGGGAAGAAAAGCCCGGGCGTCAAATCCAATCGGCCTTGCCAGGCGCGAAGATTGCGGACTTCCAGCGCTTCCGCAATCGTGGAAATGGAGAAACGGATGGAAGGGATGGAGTTGGAAAATTGGATGATGGTGGAAACGGGGAAGGGCGTTTGGAAGGGTGTGGGGAGCGTAAAGAGCCGCTTCCAATGGCCTTGTTGAGTTTGAATGGCGAAATCGAATGGAGGAATGAAAGAAGAAGAAGAAGAAGAAGAAGATGAGGATGAAGTTGAAGATGAGGATGAAAGAATGATGGAATTCACAGCGATGAGCGCTTTGGATTGGATGGTGTTTGTATGATTTTGAAAGAAAGAGGAAGGGAAAGAGACGTCTAGGAATGAAAGCATGACAGCAAAGCAAACGATCCACAATACGAGCTGCCACATGGAGCTCGCCTTGATGATAGCAAATCACTAAACTCATAGTTTGGGAACAGAAAATGGGAATGGAAATGCGGAGCTCTTTTTTGAGATGGTATCGACTACTCGAAAAAAGAATTCGGCTGTTCAACATCACACTCAAAATATCATCTCCCTTCAAATTCAAATCCAAAACTCCTTCGTTCTCTTCACACACTAAATGATATTCTCGGAATACTATTTCACCCGAGACCGTTTCTTTGAACGAATTCGATTCCAATGAAGACAACAAAAGGTTCTGCGATTCAGAATCCACCCAAAACGAAAAAGAATGCTCAAAATTCAGTTCTCCAATCGCATTATCCGGATTCATCAACTCCAAAGAAGGCGAAGAAACCGGCACTTTCCAGCTACACTGCGATGATTCCATCGAACATTCCATATCGAAAATGTTCTCCGATTCATCCACGAGTACAAACCGTGCAAACTGGAAAGGCATCG